CCCCCCCGCCCCCCCGGTACCGTCTCGGGGGTCGCGGCCCAGCGGGCGGCGGCACCGATCGCCAGGAGCAGCCCCGGGAGGAGCCGGCCCGGACCCATCGCGGCCCCTTTAAGGCGCCGCCGTCACGTGCCACCGCCCGCCGCGCTGAGGGGGCGGGGCCAAGCCTTAAAGCGGCAACGCCCGGAGGGAGGAGAGCGGAGGGCCCGACCAGCGAAAACCGGCGAATTTTATGGTGGGGAGAGGGGAAAAAAAAAAAACAAACAACACTTTTAATGCACTTTTTCGCTCCCACCACCCAGCCCAGGCCACCCCGGAACCCCAACCCGCAGGGGGGCGGGGCCACCCTCGAAGGGGGCGGGGCTAAGACGGCTCTCAGCCACACCCCTTTTGGAAGGGTGGGGTCCGCCTTAACCCCGCACCCTCACGGAGGACGTGGCCACACCCCCTTGGTCCACAAGGCCCCGTTGCATGCTGGGAAGCGTCCGGTCAGGGCTCGGCCAATCGCAGCATCGGCCCCGAAGTGGTGGGGACGCTGTGGGGGAGGGGAGGGGGCAGCGCCTGGCCCGGGGTCATACAGGCGGCAGGGGGTCACAGAAGGGGCATACAGGGATCACCTGGGGTCACACGGGTGGGGGCAAACATGGGTCAAGGCTCACCCAGTGTTGGGGGGGGGGCACCCAGGGGTCAGGTATCACCTCGGGGGCATGCAGAGGGTCCCCAGGGGTCACACAGGGGTCACACAGGGGTCACCCCGGGGGTCGGGGGGGGGTACCTGCGCAGCAGCTGGGCCCCCAGCAGGTCGTGCAGGAGGTACCCGACCCCCAGGCGGGCGCCTGGGGGGGCCCTTCGCTGCCGCAGCTCCCGTAGAAGCACCTCCCGGTGCCGTGACCGGCGGACCGCGCCCAGCAGCGCCTGGCGCCCTGCGGGGTCAGAAGTCAGGGGTCACCAAGGGTTTGAGGGGGACCCCCCACTCTGCGAGCCGGGGACTCCTGTGGGGGGGTCCCAAAGGGCAGGGGAGCCCATGGAGGGGGAGGGAGCAGGGCACGACCCACAGATTTGGGGGGCCCTGGGGGTTTCGGGGCCCCGAGGGGGGGGTCGGGGGTCCCCACGCACCGCGGACGAAGGCCCGGACAAAGCGCCCGCCCCCTGGCACTGCCAGCCACCAGCT